TTATAACATTTTTTTTCCATTACTTAACTAGTCTTTGTTAGTCGTTCCAGCTTAAGATAACATAAGATAATTGACGTTTATCGAAACGCATTGAAACTATAAAATGGCACTTACATCATTTCGGAAACTGCTGTAGCCAAATTGGTCTGAAACTAATGTTTAGTGTGAAACAGCTGTCATCCTGATGGAATCCAAAGATCCAGGTAGAGTGTTGATGATAAGGCGTATTTTTATATCTTACAATTTCAAAAAACTAACGGTTCTTCGAAAACAAGTCTTGTTAATAGAGAAGACGAATATCGATACAAAACGAGAGGACATAGCATGTTGCTAATTTTTTTGATCCTGCTAGTGATTAGAGCGTGAATATGAAAGCTTGTATCACCTCAAACATATATTGAAAGAAAGGTCGAACTCTTAACACAATTAGTTGTAGATAAGTAATCATATATTTGGGTCAAAAAGCCACCGTATTTTGAGAGGCAATAGCGTGATCAGGAAAACAGTCAAAAGTTCAGATTTATAATACAAAACAAAGTTTAATTTGTTGAGCAAAGGGTTAATCAATGATAATGACGGATAGCGCTCCAATTTTTTTGAATAGAAAGCTCTAGCTAAAACTAGTTTGACATTAATTAAAAGATACTGAGAACACTTGACCAGATTGTAGTATCAAAATAAACAGTTATTTGATTGCTAATTTTTTAATGGAAAAAGCAAAATATTTGGATGCTCAAATTATATCCCCGAATTCATATCGTTTTGAGTTTGTATCCATAACTTGTCTTTGTTTTTGTTGTCTTTCTCGATTGAATTTGCTCTAATTTGGATAACTGCTTTATTCGATAGTCACTCTGTTTAGTTGTATATATTTACACATAAAAAACAGTTTTCACCCAGTTTTTAGGTCCGCTTTGACGAATATTTTAAAAATTCTGTTTGCACAATAAAGTTAATAAGGCGTACTAAACTTTTCTAGAAGCCTCAAAAATTGTTTTTTTTTATTATTATAAAAAGTGGTATATGCAAGTCATAGAAATGGCTGTAGCAAAATTAAAGGGCACTTTTGGCTTTCATCAGTGTTCTCGCTTTTCAAGATCTTAAGCCACTTCAACTTTTTAGCTCTTTCAACCTTTCGATAAAATCAGAGCTTTTGTCATAGATTTTAGGCGTTTTTTCACTCTCCTGTAGACACGGAAAATGGAAATGTCGAAATTTTCAAGCAAATTTCATTAGGTTAGAGTTTTCAGTGTTTCGTAATTTTTCTTGGTCTTTCACCTTCATTTGGCTTTAAGTTTTTTTTTTCATTCCTATTTCGTTCAAATTGATCATTACTTTTTGCCTAAATAGAGGTGGCGGCCGCCGCACTTGACCAACTTTCCATTCTTCGCGATTTAGCAATAAAACATGCATTTTTGAAGGAAATCGTTCACCGCCGCCAACAGTTAAGCTACGCTGCCAAAATCTTGAGATTTCCAATTTGAGATTCTGCACCCAAATACGGAAGTTTGACCTCGGGTGACCCCTGGGTGACCTAAATTTGACCTTTGGGTGTTTTGACCTCAAAATTGCATTAAAAACCCCGAGATTAACACCGGAAAATGGCGTATTCCCCAGCCCAACCCCTGGAAATGAGAATGTGTCAACTTTCTAAAGTAATTGGGAGGAAACTTATCTACTGGGAACAAGAGCAGAAGCTGATATAGATTTAGTTTCATATTGCCAGCTTGGAGTAGTAGAGTTAATTCAAAGTGGACTTGGTAAATATTGGGGTCAGTTTAGCTTGGCGAATGATTTATTAATAGCAATTCAACTAGACTAAAGGAAAGTAGTCCCAGAGAAAAATGGTAGTAATAAGACCGCAGCATGAGAATTAAGTCTCCTAAATAGTATGAACGGACGGGGACTTTATTGGAAAGTGCAGATAGAATTTTTAGATACTTGAAATGAATTAGCTCCCCATAAAAAGGGTCTCCCCCTACCCTTGGGAGGTCGGAACGTTTAAGGGATAATTAAAATAAAGACCTTGGGAGGGTCACTGAGTAAACATAGCATGGTTTGGAGGTTGAGTTGAACTCGAGGGCTGACGTTACTGATGTCAGGAATTGGCTGATTAGAATCGTATGACATTTGTTTGCTTGGTCAAATTGTGACACCTATCGCATACCGGGTATCTAATAAGCTTGAAAAGACTGATAAAAGAAACCGAATTTAGCACGTGGCAGAGTTGACAGGGGGAGGGATATAGTCTTAAAACTTGTGCAGACGGGTGATTTAAGCGGATGTCAGGACTGATAGGAAATGGCGTGACTCAACTACAACTAAGTGTAAAGAAAGATAAGGAACTGGAGGTTACCGGAGAGCCTTTATGAGTCAGAACAGTTGTTAACTACTTTTAAGAGTAGTTGATTCTCAGTCAGAGAAGAGAGCAATTGATACTGAGAGAGAGTATAGTTGGTTCTCAATTAGTTAGAGAGAACAATTTTTACTAGTGAATCAAGTAGTTGGTTCTCGGAGCAATTATAGCAGAAACAGTAGATAGTTGCAATTAGGCAATTGTGCTGATAAATCGCTGAATTCACTACCCTAGGGACCTCTTTGCGGTGTCATTAGGAAAGAGAGAACGAACTTAGAGAAGCAGTTCACTGAATCTACATGGCCTGAGCAAGGACATCATGGAGTACTTTTCCGAACTTTTGGCGCTCGTTTCGGGATGTACTTCAATGTTGCCCGCTTCAACAATATGATTTCATCCAAAGATGGCATTCTTGTTGTGCTGATTGAGTTGGCTTGCCCTGTTTCGTGATTTTTCCAGGCACTGCACTTCCGAATGTGATTCGCGATGTACGCCTGAATCAAGTTTGTGACACGCACCTATAAATCTGCGCTGTGACGTCAACCAAGCTTCCGGTACTTCGCCAGGTAATATGCCTCTTCTGTGCTTTTCCATGTGCGACAGTTCCCATGTTAGAGCGATGACTATTTTGCATTATGATATCAGGCACTTGATGCCACTGCATGATTCGTCCATGCATCCAGTAAGTTCTTCCTTTGGGTTCGGCGTAGCATCATGTTGCGATAGAGAGTTGAGAGAGAAGGAGAGCTGGTGGCTGCCTGTGGTGCTGCCTAGCAGCGTTAGCGTCTGGGATTTAGAGATAGCGGGCTGGGTTTCTGTTTTTTTTTGTCGCTTGCATTCAGGGTTTCAAGCATTTGGGTCATATCGCTGGTGCTGCTTTCAGAAAATTCTGACAATGGTGCTGAGCAGGTGTTGCACCTGAAATCCGGGGTCCACGAGTGGCTATTGCGCGGATCAATGCATTTCAAGTGGATCCATCCGCAGATACCGTAACACACTGAAACGTCGGAAGCGTCATTTCGCTTTTCATTCTATAACTCAAACTATTTAATATGTTCATCACAACAATGAAGTTTTTTTTGTGACGTTTTGGATATTTTTCTCTGAAATTTTTCTCAAACTATTGTACCGTTTTTCAAAAAATAGTACCAATGGACCGTTTGGCTGCACTTCTATGTGCCTGCTTATTTTCATTTCACCCCACTAGTCTCTTTTTTTTACCCCACGAAACAGCCTTCGAAAGTTTCAGTTGGGGTATTTTTGACCAAATTGTTTGAAGTTGTTCATTTTCTCAAATACTAGATGCGTAAATCTGAGATGAAGGTTTCAATCAAAAGAACAAATGATTGGGATCTCTTTCTCAAGCGGTTATTCGCTATTTTCGACAGAAAAAAAAGATATGGCCTCAAGCAAGACCATTTTTTGACATTTTGGTTTTTAAAACTTTTCTTAAAAACTACCCTGCCAAATTGGAGATTGAGGTTTAACCGAAAGCAAGAATCCAGTTATATGAATCTTCCTTGCTGAAGAGGTTCTGCCCTGCGTTTTGAAAAAAGTATCACTTTAGAAAGTGTCGAGTTGTTGAAATTTTGCTCGTGTTTGGAAACTTCTTTTTTCAAAAACTAGTCGGCTGATTCTGAGGTTGGTAGTGCATTAGAGCTATTATGGTGCTCAGATTATCTCTGCGTAATCTTTTTCACTCTTTAGTTTGTAGAAAAGCCTAAATGTACTTCATCTTATGAAATTATCCTATTCCCATTCTTTAGAGAAAACTTTATGGATTTGAAAAGTCAAATTTTTGATTTTTTGATCGTTTTTTGGAATCTTTTTCACTTTTTTTCGAAACTAATAACCAAAGTTAAGCATAAATTCAAAATTTCGTCTTTAAAACGTTAGAACACTTGCACTTAAAAGATGGATTTAGAACCCGGTCAACTGATTAGAATGCCCTATTTTTGAATAACTTTAAAGCTGAGAAGCAGAAAATTGCGAGTTTAAAGCGATTGAACGTCTTTCTCAACGGAAAAAAAATAAATCGAATTCAGCTAGCACGCCCTTCTCATATTATCAAATGACTAGCAAAAAAAATAGTTTTTGTTTTGATCAAGCAATGAAATTTCGAAAAATTTAAATTTGAGCCATATCGTAAATTGGTTTGAACAATTTAAACTTGCATAAAAAATTGATTCGCAAAAATTTAAGTGAAAGTGTTTCTAAGCAAGCTTTTCCAGCTTCAAAACTTTGAAGTAATTCGAGTTTTTTATTAGCGATTCGGATGGCGAAAAGGTTAAAATTTTATATTGAAGGCATTCATGCGATGAAATTTTGACATATGTCGAGTTGTTTCTAAGAGCAAATCGGTCCGCGAAAAATAAATTTTTCTCAAGCAATTTATCCAACCTATGAATTGTCGAAAATTTTTCTCCGGATTGAACAGGTTCGCTCCAAATTTATCGTTTTTTAATGAAAAATATAGTGTGACGTCCTGTGGTGAGCATTCCTGGAAAAACCTAGATTCATGAGTATAAATGTAATCTCGATAGCTCACTTGTCGTGTTTTCGCTATTTTTTTTAAAAGGCCGGCTTTCGTTTTGCCTGAAAGTGAGTTTAGCTGATTCATTTGCCTTGTCTGTCTGCGTTGCAGGGAACAAGTGTGATATTCCCAAAGACAAATGGGAGGTGACAGAGGAAGACCTGGCTGATCTGAGACGCAGCAACCTTTACTACCTGACTTCAGCGGCCACAGGGGAAAACCTTGACAACGCATTCTCCCATTTGACAGGTAACCACTTATTTCAAGCGAAGCGTAGTGTATTGTTACGAACAATTTTGCTCCAACCTAAGTCGCAAGTGAAAGTGCTCATTGGTGGCACATTTCAAATATTTCAATTTAATCATTATTAAGCGTATTAAAGCATAGTTAGCCCAAAGGCATATGTTGCTGCTTTATTTTTGGCTAGTGTTAGGCCCTGTTTGAAAACAACGGATATTGAAAATGCATGGGATTTGTTTTCTTTTGCGACGCTTTGAAATTTCAATTTTTCTCGAAAACTACTGAACCGATTTTCAAAAAATGTTATCAATGGACAAATCGGCTGCTATTCTATATGCCTGCATATTTTCATTTTACCCCACGTTCTACGACCTTCGAAAGTTTCATCAGGGGGATTTTTGACCTATACTGGGCGACATTGAAAACGCAACCGCAAAAACTCTATGAGCCAAACAATATTTAAGGATGTTTGAATTGAAATTTTGAAAAATACGATTGCTTACTCTGATAGATAGCAACAGCATTTAACGACTTGCCTGTAAAATTAAATTTTTTTTAAAAGCTGGGGCAAAAATAACGTAGAAAATGGCCTATGTTTTGCCTGATTCAATTCATAGAACTAAATGTAAAGCCTTAAATGTAAATCCTAGTCTTTTGAATTTTCAATAAATAAAACAAAATTGAAAAAAAAAGCCATGCATATACCTTTTTTTTGGATCAAAACTGGATTTTCCAGGTTAATTTTAGGCATAAACATTTTCAAGCTTAGGAAACTCAAATTTCTAAAAAAACTCAAATATAATTTAGTTGCGAGCAATGTGATCAAATTTGTTCAAAAGCGTTAGGTTGAAAGATCTCACATTTTTTCAATCATTTTTACTAAGAGGAAAAAAAGTAGCGAAACTCTTTATGATTCGTTTTTTTAATGTCGCCCAGTATATTTATTTTTGAATTTTTCATTTTCTCAAATAATAAAGGCACAAATGTGAGAGGAACGGGTTAACTAAAGAACAAATAATTGGGATCTCTCATTCTCAAGAGGCTATTCCCTAAATTCGCCAGAGAAAAGTAATGGCCTAAACAAGCCCTTTTTTGATATTTTGGTTTATTTAATTTTTTTAGTTGTCTCAGAAACTACCCTGCCAAGTCGGAGAGCTGGGCCACTAGTTTATTTCAAGAGACGGTGGAGCAAATGCGAGGACTTAAAATCCTAGTTAAATAACATTGCAATAGTTTCATTTTTTTGGTCGAATTTTTGCTGCATAGCATTGTCAATTTGATAGAAACTGTAGCTGCTTTATTGGTGGCTAGTGTAAATAAAATTACCAGCGGTCGTGGAGCAGTTGTGAGAAAGTGTTACTCCTAATCTTAGCAAAAAAAAATTCTTTTTGTTTTGCCTGTTTAGAGATCTTTTTTGCTTTTTTCTCGCTTGTGTTTGCGAAGCGCAGCTTCGCCTCGGTGTATGCTCATGTTGTCCTTGTTTGTTGTTTTTCAAGACCATTAGTGATGTATTCTGTTTCGTCATTTTTGTTTCAACAGCTCTCTAAGAGTACGAGAGAACTATGGATTTAAGGTCCGCTCTTTTGGCAGCTACTTTTGACGACTTCAAAGAAAGTTTATAGGCAGTCAAGTGCAGTATCGTATTAATGTCCAGTGCTCATAAAAAAACAGATAAATTTGGCTGATATATGATGTTAACGTGATTTTGACGGCAGTTTTTGCTTTTTCTTGCACTTCTAATTCGATTGCTTTTTCTAGAAAAAAATGGAAACCTAATTGTGAAATGACTTGTGACCAAGATGTTCTTTCGCTGTGGCAACGGTTTTCTCAAATCTTTCAACAGAAACAAATCCGTTTGAAACGGAAGATATCAACCCAGTGGCCAGCCCATTGGGGGATTTTATTATCCAGGAATTGGCAATTGTACTGAGAGAGATGAAAGAAGATGACTTGCACTTTGGTTCTATGGGATGTAGATCATCTACCAATCCCGTTTTTTGCTATTAGGCAATTCAAAGAACTGTTTGCAGAAAAGAAAAAAACTCCTGCATCATATGCTTGTTGACATCGAGTGCCCTTCGACCCTTTCCCTGGGAACTGATCCCATGGGCTCTGAGGCAACTGAGAGTTCGCGAGAACCTGTTACGACTAATAGTACAACGAGTCGAAAAACAGAGTTCGCCGGCCCCCAGATGCAGTAATTTCTTCGATTTTAATGTAGGTGTGCATCAAGGATCGGCACTATGCACATTGTTATTTTATATGTTAATGGAAGAGGCTACGAGAAACTGTCGTTCCATGTTACTGTGTGGTATGCTGTACGCAGATGACTTTGTGATATCCGCTAAAACGATTCTCAGTCTTTTGAGAAGTTTAATACTTGGAACAAGGCTTTGCAAAAACGCAGTTGAAAAATCAACATGGATAAGACAAATCATTTGACTTCAGGCCAAAGTCTATTTTCAAAAAAAACCGGACTAAATTTATGCATTTGTTGTTTGAAGGGAGTCGGCGTCAATTCAATGCGCTGCGTTCCTTGTAACAATGGGTGCATAAAAATTGCAGTAGTCTGAGGAAAATACCTAAACATAATACTATCTACATTTGTCCAAGATGCAATAATCATTCCAATTATCATTCAAATCAGAATTCAAAATCGCAAATCAGACTTCAATTTGGACGAAATGTGGCAAATTGGGCCTATGCGGCTGAATAAAGATATTGATTGATTACAAGGTGTCATATCTACGGGGCTTGTCTCCGGCCAGCTCTGATGTACTTCGCTGAAACCTGGACGCAGACCAAGGCATCCAGCACTCTTAAGAGAGGTAATGTGAAAGCTCCGCGTAGGATTATCGGATTGACTTATAAAGACAGAGTTACCAACGAAGCAGTTTTAAAAATGACAGGTCTTGTTGAATTAGACAAGCTACAAGTGCGTTTGCGGCTACGATTGTGTGGCCATGTCCACCGAAGAGAAAATGACCATGCGCTTTAATCGACAGAAGATGTTTCAGTCCCAGGGAAAAGACCAACAGGAAGGCCTAAAACTCTGGCGCGAGTGTGATGAACGAGACTTGAATACTTTAAGCCTCAAATCCACAGACTGCCTTGATCGCGAATGGCATCAAAAAACGTGTTATCTTCCATTTAATAGCTTGAGTGCTATTCAGAATGCTCTTATCTGAAGCATTGCTTATGCGCTTTCAAGTTGTCCTACCCCGCCAAAATGGAAAAACGGACAATAAACCTATTAATAGTAGTAGTAGTAATCAGCCCTATGGGGGGTTGGCCTGAGTTTACTTAAATCTTTTTGGTTTTCGAGATATGGCGTTTTTTATTATCATGTTTAATTTTTTTCTTTCAAAACATGTAAACTTGTTATTCTAAACCTTTTGATTGATTGTTGTTTTACACTCTGGGTTGCAAATCAAGCCTGCAGTAATATTTTTCAGTTTTTTTGGTTTTCGAGATTTGTCGCTTTTTTCAAATTTATGACTCAAAACTGTGATCAAAATTTCAATGTTTAAAAAAACACTAACAAATTGTATTTTCTCAACACTGTTGTGGGGAGCTGTTTTGGTACTTATATGGGTTGCCCATCTGCTATCCACCAAAAAGGGTTGAATAAAACCTTTAAACCGCGCAGATTTGCTGTTTGTTTTATTTTCCTTGAAAAACTTGGAATATTCAACCCCATATTGTGGTGATTTCAGGGTCTTCCTTTGTACTATTTTGAGATATCTGTTTTTGGCTGACTGACCTTGAAATTTTTCTGAAGGCGCCTCTGGCGCCAATCTATACTAAGTGAGAGGGGGGAAGCGCGCGCCGAAAAAAAGCGATTTTTTAGTCGAAATTTTCCAAAAAGTGCCTAAAAACGCCTCATTTCTTAAACCTTTTTTTTCAAAAAATTGTTGACTGCGGCGCAGAAATTTTGGTTAAATTAGGGTGTCTTTATAGTGGTTTGGGAGATCTCAGTAAAAAAGGTCGACAAAATTTTCAAATTTTTTGCGAGGTAACTCAATACGGAAAGCCCATCCTTTTGGCTAATTTTCAAGTGTAAAAATGTGAAGGTCACGAAAAACGTAATCGACTTCCAATTTCGAAAATGGAATTTAATTATCAGATTTCCCAGCTAAATAAAAACTTTACCTGTTGATCCAGTTTGCTCAAATTGGGTTAGTGTTATCAAAAAAGCCCAATTTTTTTTTTTTTTTTGGGTAACTCAAAGAGCTTTAAGAGCATGCGCTAAAAAAATTCGAAATTTGTAGTTTTTTTTTCAAAAAACAAGTCCGTTTTTTTTCTGTTTCCCTGCGTTCCTTGTTCTTTTCCACCTCAGTTGACTATGTTATCATATTGCATTTCAGCAGATGCTTTTTTTCATTTATACCCCACCCTTTCCCCCCAATGATAAAATATAGAAAATGAACCGTTTCATCAAATAGTTTGATCGATTTTGCTTGGAAATGCTGGGCTGATATCCCAAGCTGAGCTCATATCTATGAATTTTTGGTAGACAAAACGGCAAAAAAGGAAAAAAAAAGAGGCAGTTTGAGCTGCTTCGTTTTGACCGATCGTATTTTACTATCTTGCCTTTCTGAGTAAATCAATCCAATTTTGTTGAAAAAGTTTTCAATAAATTTTTTACTCAGGTAAGGGGGTATAACCGAAAAGACCCCAGCAGATTAACACAAAAAGATCGATCAAAGGTTGATTGATATAAATAAACAGATGCGTTGTCTGCGTTTGAGTCTCTCCTTTTTAGATAATTATCTCAAGATTGAAAATTTTTCCTTCTCAGTTTTTTATACAACGCATGATCTATGGTGACCAGTCTATTATCATGTTTGTCGATTAGAATGACCATGTAAAATGGTATAGTTGACTCGCTCGCTGTTTACACAAGCAAAGCTTGTGTGATAGTATGAACTCTCTTTTTTTCCCACCTAAGTCGCAAATATTGTTGCGACAAAATAAGTTCATTTTGAAAGTGTTCATTTTGATATATAACCAGATATCAAGTACAAGGTATCATGGATCTGTAGCATAGAGGTATGCAAGGAGACCCGCAACAAAATAAGAGGGTTCGAGCGTGGGCAGGGTCGGATGTTTTTAATTTACTATTTCGTATACTAGTTAATGCGTTCGCTCTATAAATTGAGGCGTGTTAGTTGGTAAATTTCGTTTGTTTTTCAAATTGAGTGGTACTGCTAATGCGTCATTATTGGCTTGCGTCACCTAGCAATTATCTAGACTCATAATTGGCGTGCGTCACCAAAAAATTTTGTGGACTCAATGTTTCACTCATTCAGTTTTTCCCAGTAGCGTTATCGGTCATATTTTCGCTCAAGTATGCGAAGTACAACTTCGCCTCTGTGTTCAAGATCTTGTAAACTGAAAATTAGAATTTAAATTGAGTGCATTTTGTCGAAATTGAAATACGACATTTGTGTACGAATTTAAATGATTTTCATATTTTTAGCACTTGTTCATCGCTACGTTCCCATTATCTGTATTAGCGTCAAAAATTTTTCAGTTTGATATTGTTCAGTTTGAGTATATTTGTACTGCTCAAATTTTTGGTGGCGACTCACTAGCGTGTTAACACTAGCCTTGCCTGTGTTATAGTTTGAACTCTTTTTTTTCCAACTTAAGTCGCAAATAATGTTGTGATACAATTGTTGCGACAAATTGTTTTCATTTTGATCCAGCTATTAAGTACAGCCGATGCTAAGGATATTAACACAGCCTATTATATTACAAATAGCATTGCGGTAGGGAAGGAGACCAGCAACAAAATAAGAGGGTTTGAACTTGGGCAGGGTCGGATATTTTTAATGAACTTTTTCGTTCACTCGTTAAAATGCGTCCGCTATATAAATTGAGGCATGTTAGTTGGTAATTTTTTTTTCAAGTTGACTGGTTTTGCTAAAGCGTCATAATTGGTATGCATCAATTAGCTCTCGAATAATGACAGTTTAATTTGCGTGGAAAATTTTGATTGACTTCATATTTTGAATGTGGATTTAATAAAAAAAGGTTTTCAATCTGGAAAAAAGTTTTCCTACTGGTCAGACTTTTTCTTCTGTATCATAAAGTTTTCTCACATTAGGTTAATTTTTTTTTCAAACTAGCCGATCAAAAATTTCTTTGAAGTTCAAAGAGATAACTGAAATACGAACCTGAAAACCGGAAAACTACAAAAAAAACAGTAATTTTTGTCGGCTTTCTCGAAATATTTGTAATTTTTTTACTGTCTTTTGGCCACGTTTTTGGTTTGTTCTGATAAGTTTCCTTGTGCCAATTTTGTGAAGTTCAGTGTGTTTGTGAAGTTCATCTTCGCCTCTGTGTTCTTTTTATCCAATTGGAGTGCAGTGCTATTCTTTTTTCTGATCTTTGAAGTAGTTGGTAATTTACCATTAAAATTCATTTAAAAACATACGTTTTCCTTTTAGTTTACCATTTACCTTGTTCAGATCTAATCCTCAAGCGAAGGGCTGTGGATAATCAGAAAAAGAACGACCTGCCTTTCACCACGCTGGACATCAAAGGCGGTGGCGGGGCTTCAGGTAGTGGCAGGTCGAAGAAGGAGAATAAAAAAAATACGCTCACAAACTCCTCCAAGTGTGCTCTCATATGAGGGTTCGAAGATATCAGAATAGTAACTGTTAATCTTACTTTCATACCGGAATTAGTTAAAAATCAGTTGTCTAGCTCATTGTTAATAACTTCATAGCAGAAAATGGCTTGAAACAGAAAATGATTGAAACACAGGCAGTGATAATAAAAGCAGGACAGATTTCTGATTTTGTTACCTTAAGACTAATTAAATTTTAGAAGATTATTCAACCAAAAATGAATGTCTTAAAATAGTACCAAAGTTGGGACGCTCAACACGGTGAGAGAAAAGCGTCAAGCTTCCACCTAAATCCGCCCCTGAATACAATTATACATTTTTTTCAACCAAAGACGTTTCGATGCTCAGATTTTTGTGATCAATTGATTTTGAAAGGCGTTCATGGCCCGCTTGTATTTGGTAGTCAAGCATGATTGAAAGCAATTTGTATGCGTGGAAGTATAAGGTTGTTGGATATTCACGTGTGTGCTCAAAAGTTAATTGCAATTATTTTTTCACTTTTATTCTTTACCATCAATTAATTTTAGTTGCTACTGAGAGTAAATTAAATGCATTTATTTAAAATCAAAAATTTGGTCAGTGTGTAAAATTTTGAATTAACACAAGGATTTTTTACGTCTTTTCACACAAAGATTTTTTAAAGTTTTCGTCTCACAAAAGTTTGTAAGTTTAAGTTCATGGACGCTAATCCGATCCGAGATTAGCGAAAAAACCTTCAATGCAGCCAGAGGTTATATGCGCAAAGGTTTACCTGCTCGTAATAGTTGAAAGGTCGCACACCTTCCATGGGCAGTGAACTCAAAATAAAAATAATTACACTGGCGTCAGCTTAGTGTGTTATTACCAACCTTCTTTTTCACCTAACTCGCAAATGAAAGCGTTCATTAAAAGTGTCCGCTGTTTTGGAAACTTCACTGTACCATTGGAAGTTGCATAGCATCTATTCTCTGCTTTATTTGTTGCTAATGTTTGTTCTATCTTCTATCCGCTATTAAGCTTCCGTGGCTGAGTGGTTAGGGTATGTGACTCTTAATCCAAGTGGCAGGTTCGAATCTCAGACGTTCCCGATTTTTTTCGCTAATTTGAGGCTTTTACTTTTTTTGAACTTTATTAAGCTGCTTTTTTGTCGTGTTCTCGCCAGTGAAGGCAAGCAAAGCTTCGCCTCTGATTAACGCTTGCTACTAGCAAGCGTTATCAATTCCTAATCTACAGATTTTTTCTGGTTAACAACTTGTTTATCATTTTTTTTTGGTATTTGGCTAATAAATAATTCAATTTTTTCTAGCATTTTCGGCTGACTTGATCTGGATGTAGCGAATATGCGTGGGACAGCAAATTTCTGGGTTTGAACCTGATCAATTTTTTCAAACGGACTTTTAAGAAGAAAAAATGGTCGGACTATTATTTGTCTGCTTAGTTTTTTCTGCTTGATTGATTGTTTTTTCTGCTTGAATGATTTCGGGTTGAATATAATCAGTTTAGTGGCCTAATTATGGGTGTTTTCAAGAAAAATAGCTTTTTCATGCTCCCCCATCGGATCGCACTAAACGCTTAGAATAGAATTTATTGTTGAAAGTGTCTCATGATTGAAATTTTATTCAGAGTAATGAACGTAGTGAGTACTCTTATATAGGTCTTGGTGATTTTTTTCTGTTTTCTTTTCAAGCTCAGTTATAATTTTTCTCGGTTTTCTCAATGATTTATTTTTAAGTTCAGTTTCTTTCCTTTGTTAAAAGGAAAGCAGACCACTATCGAACATCGAAAGTCTAAATTTCTTGAAAAGCGTCATCAACTTCTAGTTTCGAAAATAGATATCATTTATCAGATTTCTCAGAGAAACTAAAACTTGACCTATTGATCCAGTTTTCTCAATTTGGGTGAATTTTATCAAAAAGGACCCATCATAACTAGTTCGTGAAATTCAAAGAGCTTTCAGGGCATCTATTTTGTCTTCAAATGTTGAAAGTTTTTTTTTTCAAAAGTCAAATCAGAATGGTGTTTTCTGTTTCCTTGCGTTCATTTATGTTTTTAACTATCAGTTGTCAATGTTTTTTGGTTCTACGGGGATTGGCCTAAGTTTTGTCGGCCCAGTTATCGCTCGATATCTATATTTTTTGATTTTTCGTTAAACTCAGTCGTTAGTTATTTTCTCGTTATTTTGGACGTGTTTTCTTCAAATAAAAGATCATTCCAGACAACTTGTTAAACTTTATTTTAGTTGTGGTGCTTTTGAATTTTTTTTGTATTTAGTGACTCCGCTCAGCCTCTATGTATATTGAATCATTATATTAAAAAAAAAAAAATCAGTTAAATAATTGCAATTAGTTTTTGATCAGTCAAATTTTGAACATTCTTCCCAGTGGTCTAGAGATAATCTTTTTGCCTTTTAATCCCTTGAACTCCATCCAAAAGTTATGTTTAGAGTGGCAGCTAGTTTTTTGTCAAATTATCTGCTTCTGATAATAGGTGCTTCAAAATTTGTCACCAAATTTGAAGCTTTGCCTCATTAAAATTCATAATTGTGCTTCGTATTTCACATTGTGAGTCAAGGTGGTGCTTTGAGAGTTTCTAGTTAAGTAAATCTGTTTGAAGACATGTGATTCACGAGAAACTCAAAAAAACCGCCGCAATTGATTGAACATAGTTTGAAACATCAGCAGTAAATAATATAGAATCAAATTGAAGCTTCGTCGCATCTCACAGATTATTGATGTAATTGCTACTCAAGTAAATCCGTTGTTTATATTTTTGGTGTTCAATTTTTGCTTTACTGGTCTTCAAAGTCTGTTTTCAGTTTTATTGCAGGATATGTATGTAAACCAGCGCTAAAATACGCTCACTTTCGAAGATGGTATTTGCTCGGCTTTGTATTTGTTCCGACTCGAAAAAGTGAAAAAATATGCGTTTTTTTGTCGGAGATCTTTGGTCAACATTTGATGTGAGCTGTGAAATCAATTAAAGACTGGGGTGTAATTGTGATAATTTTGCTCGTGTCTGCTTACTGCAGATCGCCTGTGGTTTTTTTTTTGTGTTGTGGTTGGAAAAAGGGGCACTGGGTTTTCGTGAGAGCGTAACCAGTACGTTATTTTGCATCATTGTATGCGCCTTATTTTTAAATTATTGATCTGATTTGATGAATGTAGATGTTTTAATTTCAATGTTTTTTTTACCTCGGTGAGATATTTATAGCAAATCTATGCTTTCAATTGAGTTTCAAGTGATGAGGAACAAAAAAACCTACCGGATACTTAATGTGGACGAACGCTGATTTAGCCCAAAATCTTTTCTTTTTCCATGTACAATAAGGTACAAGTACCACTAGCAGAGACCAGGGGATAGTTGGCGTTGAAAGTTGAATAAGGAAACCGTGCTTTCGTGAAAATTAGCGCAGTCAAAAAGTTGGTATTGAGATAAGTTGGCGTGAAGTTTATCAGTCAGTTGTGTCGTCGGAAGCCAATCACGAATCACAAATCTCTCCGCACCGAATCACAAAGATGAAGGTACTTCCCGCACTGAAGTTTTTTGAATAATAACCTTTTATACTGGATTTTTATTGTCAATCTCTATGAAATTCAACAAAAAATACTTATAATCATTTAACGATGAATTACAATAATTATTTTTGTCAAATCAAATAAATCCATTTTTATTGGTTATAATTATTTACAATGGTTTAAGTAGTATTGTGTGTCCTGGATCCTAAGGGGGGGTCCTTCTAAAGGGGATTTTCCTCACGTAAAGCAAAGTCCTAGGGACAGGGTCCTTAATTTTTTGGAGGATCCTCATCTTAGGATTTTGTTAACAAAAGAAATTTTCCACCCAAAAAGCAGAAGACCCCCTACTTAGGATCTTGCTCAGCTTAGCTTAATAACCAGGGACAGGATACAATTTTCTTTCTAATTCCAATTTTTGGGGTCCTAATTATTGGTCCTGGTTAATAATATGAACCATATTAATTGTTATTTTTGTTTCGGGCAAATGAATTATCGACCTAATTGAAATTTGTTAGTGAAAGTGAAATTGACTTTTATGGTATACAATAAAAATTCGCCGACAATTTTGGCAGCGTAGCTAAACCGTTGGCAGCAGGAAGCTATTTCCTTAACTTGAGAAAAGGAAGTAAATTGAAATCACTATCCGAACGCGGCGGCCATTTCTAGGCAAAATATACCAAATGACAAAATTGTCAACTTTTGAAAAAAGAAAAAAGAAATTAGAGAAAACTTGGTGTACTGAAGATATTGATAACGAACATTTACATTAAAGTAATTTCAACAACAGAAAAAATCCGTTTTTCAAACTCTGTAATGAACGCTACGTGTTTCTCGAGAGGGCAAAAGAATTTTCAAAGAAAGAATGAGAGTTATTTTTCAAAGAACAATTTTATTTGAGTGCGCGTCAATATATCACTTGGTGCATTTCTACAAATTATAAGTATGCTACTATGAGTGATCTAAATATTGCTTATTATGAAAATGTATTCCACTATTCGTTCAATTTTAACTCACTATGGGTTGATATAGACTTGGAGTGAAAAATCCGTCAGTTTCAACAAGTTATTAAAATATTAAAAACTTCCCGTGGTTGATTTGATTTTTTACCACCGAAATCTTATTGAAATTAAAAGGTATCTGCTAGGTTACTTTTTTTTGCTTTGACTGGAAATTCAGCAGGTTGGAGAGGTGTTGGAAAAAATAAACAATGAAATCGCAAAAAAAAGCAGAGTAACTCCTATTGATTTAAAAAATAATTCACGAAATTTATACGTCATTAATGGTGGCTTGATTGGTATTGATAACTCTTCCTTGGACAAATACTTGAAAAAATCTAATTTTTTAAGATTGCACGCTATTTTGCACAATGGACCCATATTTAAACACAAGTTTTAACAAGAGGGTCCCCCGTACTGTTACATGTTGTCCTTAAACTGTAACAACAGCTTATTGGGACATATGACTGGAAAAGTTTTCTGCCTCTTCAATTAGTTGAAAAAACCAAAAGTGTATCTTTTACTAAACTGCTAAGCGAGAGATCAGTTGTGCCTGACGTGGAAGGCTTTCCTTACAAGAAAACACCTTTGTGGTTGAAGAATTACCAATAAAAATTTCAGGTTATGGCGACCGACTCTTTTTTCGTCTCCAGTGAAGTTCAATATACTTCCAAAGCTCGAACGAAAAGCACTGGTTAACAACTTATTTACACGATCTCCATTGGAAAAACATTGGTTACATTAACATACATTTAAATCAAATACTTCAGAGTTCTGTGTTGAGAAATCCTAGAGGCAATTTTCACGCTAAAGGAAAAGAAAAGGGTACTTGGACCGAAAAGTTGAAAAACTAAATGATTTGGGTTGTCCTCGGGTTGAAAACTTACATTTCAAAAAATATCCAAGTTGCAATAGACATATACCTCTTTACAACTCCAGGAATTATAGAGCCCTGAAGAAAAGCAAGGTTTTTATGATAGGTTGAAAAATGAACAACAGCGAGAGATCAGCGAAAGTTGAGACATACCTATCACCAAATCCAATGCTTTGCGCGTGGATGACTCCAGAGGGTGATATTAAAATTCTATGAACAAGAATAGAGCGTATTGACTAAAGCTGCTATTTT